CCCCAAAACCCCAAAACCCCAAAACCCCAAAACCCCTTTAGAGATTTTAGAGTTGATAGATGAGTAATTAATATGAGATCATTCATTTTTTGCTTCGGAGAGCTTATTTTAAGGGGATATGGCAATACTGTGTTTTGTGCAAGTTCTGATTAATTATTACTGGAATTCTTTAGTTTAATTATTTTGATTTTTGGTAGAATTTTACAAATTGTATTATAAGAGAAAATAAAAGCATTTTTTGAAATATTTATTATAATCATGTGTTTCTTAAAGATTATAAATATTCTATTTATTTAGACTTTCCAAGCATTCGTTGAGCTAAGGTTTGAAGTGCCATATTTCGGTGATGCTCTTCTCTTAATTCATCGCTATCTTCTGAATATATGTCGTGAGAGGTGAGGCCCTGCCTCTCTGCAATGTAGTCAGTCTCCCGCTCCACAACTTGGTTTACAGAGTTATCAATGGTTGCAACTCATTGCCCTGCAGGAGTTGTGAAATCATTCTGAACAACTTCTGAGTTGAAAGTTAGTTCAGGAATATTTGACCTTTTTGGAGGGTATTTTTGTTTCCGTTTAAGTTTTCTAAGCCGGAGTTTGTTCTTCCTCGTTTGGAATCAATCCGTCATCTTCATATTATGCCCTAACTTATCTTTGATAACTGGTGGGTCTGTGATGCGGAGATATTTTACCTTACTCCAGTCAGCAAGTGTATCTTTGGGTGGAGTTATTTTGGAATCAACAAAATCCTTGATATTGAGTTTAATGATCTTTTCAAATATTTTAGTGAAAGGAAGGATTGGGTCAAACTTACCCTCAGGGGCTTGGATCCTGGAATGCTTACTTTTGAGACCTCTCTCTATCCTTCTGGCGGTTTCTATCATTAAAAGAACGTTTCTTCCTTTGTTCTTGGTCCAATTTGTTGCTTTGATGACTTCATTCATGCAAATTTCCTTACTTTTAAAGATACTTATTAACAAGTCCCGATGCTTAAGGTACAGAATGCTCTGGTTCCAGCTTTCAACATTAGTGAACGAATTGCCGTATAAATTGGTAAAATTTTCTATGAATTTTTGAAAAGCTGGCATAAGCTCTTCAGGGATTTTGCTTGAAAAATGAGATTTGAGGTTTTCTATTTGAGCCTTTGCCTTAAATGGTGGCAAAAATGAAATAGCTTGAATTCAGCATACTAGGTGGGAAACCTCAGGAGTTATTTGGTGGTCGATTACCATGTCATGGTCAAAAATCATTTTCCACAGTTGTCTGGTGAAGTCTAGGTGGGTTGTGAATATAAATGCTGATGGGAATGCAGCTTGAACAGCAGTCGAGAGCTCCATATTAGTGTCAATTCCTATTATCTCTGGCTTAAAATTTTGTCCGAAGTCATTCTTGAACCAATCAAAGCAGATGTAGAAACTTTCTGCATCAGGTTTTTCTATAAGGATATGGCCTATCGGCATGAAGAAACTTCATTTTTTGTCAAAGTAAAGGAGATTTACAAGTGTTGAAAACTCTCATATGGAGGGATCGAATTTTCAGGTTATATCTATCATCATTTTTTTGCGATTTCTCACTAAGATTTGTCCTGAGCATTTTGACTTCAAAATCAGATACAAGGAACATGAATTTCCTCATGTGGCCTTTGATTGGAATCTCATGATATGCTCTCCCAAATACGGTCCCTGAGTATGATTTAATGTTAGATAAATCCATGTGGGGGCTTGAACGAGCTATTGTAGACCTTGGAATTACTGGAACCATTATATTTGCCTTTAATTTATGCTTCTTATAATAAGGATTAACTATCTCTTTCTTTGATTTTTGAGCATCTAAGATGCTTGGACAAACTTGGGCAGCCAAAAATGGTCTGTTCATTGTCCTCTTTACTCTATCTTTGCCTTTTCGCTCTGCTTCATCAAGAAATTTCTCTATAAGAACCATCTTTTTGTTCAAAATTGGGACCATTTTTGGTATTTGGGCGATATTAGCAAGCACTTGAACTCTATTAGAGCTCGGATCTTCCTTATAACACTCATCAATGATCATTTGGATATCGATAAGTCAGGTATCTTCATCTCAATGGTCTTCTGTCTCCTGAAAGGCAGTGATCTGGTTGATTAGATCCTTTTTCTGTGGAGCTTTGAACAAATTGCCATCGTCATCAACTGGCTCTCCATCCTTCCTCATCTGGTTCAGAGTTTCAGCTAAGACTAGCTCTTCTTTTAGCCGTTCTTCTTTTATTTTCTTTTGTTTTTCCAACTTTTTCAATCGTTTTTTGTCTTTTCTCGCTTGGTTCTCATCCTCGAATCATTTTTGGAAGAAGGAATGCTCCTTAATATCGACTGAGTGGGGCTTGCACAGCGACATCTTCTCTTGGGAATTTTGGGTGGTAACTTTGAGCATTCCTCTACATTTGAGAGTCTTGGAGTCCTCACATTTGTAATAGACTGTATCGTTTGATTTCCCAGATAATTTGTATATGAATCCTTCAAACTCAATCAACGGTTTTTCATTAATTTTCGGTAGCTGGGGAGTTTCAGATTTTAGTTCAGAAATTGGGAGTTTTTGAGGAGTTTGCAATTCATCACTCCTTCTAGCTGCAAGCTGATTTGAGTTTATCTCAGATAGCGGCACTGGAGTTGTATCTTCCTTCTTTATGTTTGTGTGACCACTTTCAATTAAAATATTTAGAACGGGGACTTTACATAATTTGGTAAATTTATATGCAGATTTAAGGTCTCTTTGATGCTCAATCTCGATTCTCTCTTCATTTCAGTCTTTATACGAGAACCTCAAATCATGATGAGTGATGTTGAAGGACTCATGGGCTTTCTGAGCTAAATTTCTGAGATCACAGGGTGTTTCATCACAGAACTTGCTTTTGCCATTAAAACTCAGCTTTATCATTATTTCATCATTGCTCATTTTCAATTTTGTAGATTTTAGATGGGGTTTTGGGGTTTTGGGGTTTTGGGG